CTGTTTCTGCCTCTAATATGTCTCTGACTAGACCTTCATGCCTGAGAAGGTGTCCTACCAACCTATCTCGCCTATTTTTTATTGACTTCCATAGAGTCCTCTGTTCTCCTATTCTTTCCAATGCCTCTTCATTTCTAACCTTTTCTACCCACGATATCCTCATCATCCGCATATAACACCACTTCTATCACGGTCAATTTATTTCTACTCCTCTCGGCGATCGTCTGTTCCTTTAAATACCCTTTTTTTTACTTTCGGGAACCTTTTGGAAACATCCGGATAGTTTCTTTTTTTTTTAACTGTTTAACTGCTTTCCAAGAATGCAGGTAGGACACACACATTTACAACTACGGCGCACACAAACACACTCGTACTCGCTACAGTGCCGTACAGGGGCTACAATTTCGACGTATTTTTAGAAGTTTTAGATTGATTATATATAGGCACCTGCACATTAATCCTGTTAAGGCCCCAAATAAGTCGCTTCTAAACAAATGAGATTTTCTTGAATCTTATTAAATGGATTACTCTTGATGTATCAAACTAAAAGAGTGGTCGAAGTTTCAAATCAAAACTCTCATTATTACCTGCACAAACACGAAGCCTCCACTCTACTGGACTTTCCCTCGCTATATTCTTATGTTTATAGTTAACACCGGAGGTGATGTGCATTGACTAGTACGATGTACGATTTTTTTACGAATCAACCGAATCAAAAGACTGTTAGACTTTATCCTTTATAGCATACCTACTGTAGAACATGTGCGAAAGCTTAGGAACATCAGGGACATCGTTATTGTTATTTTTGAAAGTTAAGTATTTTAATTGGTGATCGATATACTACTTAAGTGTTCTTAAACATTAATCAATATCAATTTCATTTTAAAATTTATTGGCAAAGGCACAGTAATTTCAACAAGAAACATTTGTAAAGCTGGGTGCATAGTCATTTGATTTAAATAGAATTTAGTGCAAATTGAGATAGTTAATATATTTAATATTAAAATAAAACATTGTGTTTAATTAACTGAAATTTTCCTTAAGAAGGTTCACTTCTTTTTCCCTTTCTTTCCGCCTTTCTTGTCCTTTTTGCCACCTTTTCCTTTTGGTTTTTGAACTGTAAAATCTGCAGGATCATATTGCGTATCAGCCTCAGTCTTAGGTTTGTTTCTTCGTTTCAATGCTCTATGCCTAAGCAACCCAGGAGGTGAAAATTCAATATCTAACTCGCTATCCGAAGAAGGCTGTTCATCTTCATCGTCACCACAGTAGCAGGTCCTGCAAGGAAGACAGTAACATTAAAAAAATGCGTAACTGTAGCATATAAATTAGTAAAGTTAATAACTATTTACACTAGTTTACATTTTTAATACATACGATATAAATTACATTTTTTTCATTTCTGTGCAAGTTATTGGGGCATGCGCGCCAGCAGCGCAAAAACTAAATACGAAAAAAAATTAAAGGGTTTAAATTTCCACAAAAAAAAAATTATTACAATTATGACATATTAGTAACTTACTTATAGTCATCGTCATCTGCTCCTTTGATCATTACTTTTTCTTTGTTTTTGGTAATACGGAATTCCATTGGCATACAATCCATATAGGGATCTTGTTCGTCGATAGTATTAGGATCTTTTATTGGATTCATTGTTATCCAATAAGCGCCTTCTTTTCTGTGTATTTCTAGAGTTGGCCTTGGAGCAACCGTTACATCTGAATCAGAATCATCACGCCTACGACGTTTTCGACTACTTTTACGGGATGATTTTGATTTTAGTCTTGCTCTTTTATGTTTCATAATACGATTAGCAACTGTTGCTGTTATAGCCCCCGGCCTCCAACCCCTTCTTGGCTGGAATAGTTTCACGTTTTAGTAATCCTTATAACCCAAATAGGTGTTACATGTCATTATCAAGAAAAATACAGATAGTGGTAAGACTGGTAAACAAAAAAAATTGTTTTTCTGTCGCTAAAAATTAACATCGTTATCTGACTGATAGAAAGTTTTTATTTTTGGTTGAATCGTCCCTGCAGTTGAAATGGCTTTGTATTTCGAAATGATTATTTCAATAATACTAATACGTACAAAAAGTATGTAAGTATCAAGTAGTGCTTCGAATAAAACGTACTAAAAGAATAATGTGGTAAAACATTGCTTTTTGTCTATTTTCTCCGATCATCTTAACAATCTCCTTAAGATTCGAAAAGTTGAATTATATCAGTTGAATATATAGATCTATTGACCTGGTACACACGGGCATACATTACTTAATACATTCATCAAGTACTATCATTAACGTTGGTGTGTATGCCGAATAACGTCATGTTGTTGCTTGTGGAGTCAAAAAAATACATCCCTGTTTCAGTAGAGATCATCCACGTACATCAATTGTAGCAGCAGAGTCCATAAAAGCTAGATGTAGATGCGTAGATGACTTAATAAATATGCGTGCATTCTTCAACCCTTATTCAATAATGTCAATGTGTATGCTAAATAATGTTCCATATTCCAATGTTGACTCTGCAGTCAGAAAGTACGTCGCGACATTTTTCCTGTTTTCATCTACACTGAATAACATTACGTTGTTGATTGTTCAGTCAAAGAGTACTAACTGCTAATCAAAGTTGGTACGTCTGTATGTAATTGAATCCACGTTTCCCTCAAGGTGCTCACCTTTTCATGGTGAGGAAGCTCAGTATTCTGGCAGGTAAGAGCATTACAGACGACACAGTGACAAATGCATCGAAAAGGTTAAAAACTGTATCGGGCATTGTCACAACTCAGAAGGATAGCCTGGCCCATTAAGGGTTACGACGCTAAACGTAAAGCGAACATGGAACTTGGGTGAGAAAGAGACACGTCGAAACGGATATCACTCCTGAGTAAATAATGGCTTAGCTTCGGCCTCTCCCGACATTTAGTGTCGAGCTCAAGGAGGCAGTTGCTTGATAGCATGCAAGCTGTATTAGAGAGCTGTACCGGTAAGTCGCTCAACCAGTTTCACAGTTCCCATACATACTAAGGGTTTGGATGGGGCCGAGCCTGAGGGTTACTCGCCTCGTTAACGCACAGGTAACCTCAATGGTTTCCTAGGACAAATTTGTCTACCAACGTCCCTGTTCATCTTACCAGTTTGGCGTATGGATACACTTTAGAAGGCAGGTGATTAAATCTTTATTCGTTGAATATACATTATTAAATGCACGTTGATGAATGCACAATGTATTAAGGCATCTACGCCCGTATGTAAGGCCAACGTTAGCATTTCATGTTTTTATAAAAGGAAGATTTTGTTCCATTAATTTCAGTTATCGATATCTGAAATTATATTTCTTGTATGTAAAAGTTCTCAAAAATTTTAGAAAAAAAGAAACTAAAAAATCGAACTAAAAAATGTCTGAGATCAGTTTCGCGGTCGGTTTATTTAATTTATTTTCTACTAATTTTGTGTTTTATTTCTTACTATAAGGTCTTTCATCTCTTATGGTAAGACAGGCAACTTAAGTGTAACGACTGTTATATTCGTTTTTATTAAAAAACCATGTGGCAGACTAGACACGGCCGGCCCTTATTTTTACTACATCCTTTGATCTTATAGAGTTAAGAATTAAGCGTATCTCAAACAACAGAATTACAATTAAATAAAATTAATTGTATTTGTAGTTTGAAGAACAAAAAAGTACTCATTTCACGTGAAAATGTCATTGCCCTGTGAGATGATTAACTGTCATGACTTTCTTAAAATCATACATTAATGAATCTGAAACTATTTGAAAATGTTCTAACATTCTACAAGAAATATGCAAACGTACTGTTTTTACTTAAAACCTTCTTATTTTAAAGGTTTCTAATATTTTTATGTCGGTAATTGAAATGAGTGTATTGCTATGCCAAACTATTTTAGATTTCCATGAACGTTTACCAGTCTAAAGCAGAATATCAAACATCAATGTATCAAAAACAGAATGATAGATACTTATTGTTCTGTTGCCAACTATTTTTATTCTACTCTAGATATGACAAAGAATTCAAAATGAAAGAAAATAATGCTAATAACTAATTTACCAATACTACTGTTTGTTATCAAGTCACACAAGTATGCAGGGGAGAGCTCTTAACTTATATAAACTTTAAAATTGTAAAAAAATGATTGCTAGCGTCATAATTTTTTTAAGGTTCAATAAGATAAACACATTTATGACTAGTGTTAAATTTCACAGGCAAATATTTGAAAACTTACTATTGTAAGGGGTTAACGCGTTAAATTAATAAGACGTGTTGTTTTATTCTGAAGTAGAAGGTAGAAAAATGGAATTCTTGCAGCGAAGTCGACTTATTACATCATCATCATAAGGTCATCAGTCCTAAGACTGGTTGGACACGTACCTCCACTGTTTCCTATCCTGTGCTAAACTATTATTACATAGCAGCCATAAAATTACATCATCATCATAAGGTCATCAGTCCTAAGACTGGTTGGACACGTACCTCCACTGTTTCCTATCCTGTGCTAAACTATTATTACATATATATTTTTAAATATGTACAGAGGATCTCCAACGATTGAGTAGTAATGATTATACAAGTGCAAGTCTTGCGTTCAAGTGCTTGCTATTGAAGTAACTAACTTTTACTTTTGGGTGTTTCATTCCCACCAGCTAGTAATGCTGGTGGGCGGGCAGTCCCTCCGGACTATGTCGGAAGGTAGGGCGGAAGGCCCTCTTCAGCCTGCTTTCAGGAATCGTGGGAATGGGT